TACTACTACTAACTACTATTATTACTATTACTACTATTATTACTACTACTAATTACTATTATTACTATCACTACTACTGTACTATTACAAATATTATTGTTATTCTGACTGAAGGCTTTGACTCTGGGCTTCTGACCCCAGGGGCTCGCCCCAGGTGCCTGACACTTCGGAGCCTTCGGCTACCTCAGAGCGCTGAAGGAGGTCTACTCCGAAGGATGGCACGCTTACGGCTTAGGGCTTAGGGCTTAGGGTTGAGGGTTTAGGGTTTATAGGGCTTAGGGTTTAGGGGTTTCGGGGTTTTTGGTTTCATGGTTTCTGGCTTTAGGGTTTACGATCTGCGGGTGTTGACGTTTGAGACTTGGTTTCTTTTGGCCACAATTCCCGGTAAAGTGTTGGGAAGGTTACGCACTCTGACTTTAGGATGGGACGACAACGGTCTACCAATCATTGTTGAGGTGTGTTACTTTACCGCTGGTTCATCAACTTTCCAAGAAGGGTTATAGGGAGACGCACGGCGGCACGCACTTTGCCAAGCCATGCCCGGTTCATAAGTCATGCCAGCATCCACAGCTACATTTGTTGCGAGAGTTTAGGGTTTGGGGTTTAGGGATGCTTCCACAACATGTAACCACTACCACATACCCGTCAGCAACTCCACATAGACCGATAGCACCCTTGATACTAGCATCCAGGAAAAGCGTAACGGCGCAAAGGGTGAACTGTGGAACTTGCCCCATGCTTGTAAACTGTAGGTATGTCTCATGGACATCGGTAGAGTCTGTGTGCATCATACCATTTAGGCTTCAAGATGCATTAGGCGGCTTTAGGGCTACGTCTACCGGGAGGGTATCCACCTGTTAACATATTCTTACTGCTGGTGCTGACATCGCTTAGCAACTTTCACCAGGTATGCGGAGGTCATCATCTTACCTTGTCGTTGTCTATACAGAAGAACATATCGAAATAACCAACGTCTCCAGAACCTCAAACATGCGTCTTTTTACAGGCCATCAGTATCGCTTTGCTTCCAAAAACAACAAAGCTGAAATCTGCAAGCCGAATCAGATGTTTTGAAGCCCTCGCGCACAACTTGGGGCTGCCATACTGGAGTTGCCTTGATCTGCATCCAAGCACCTGCTCCCCTCTGCCTATACTCAAAATAAGCAGGAAGCCGCACAAAAAATAGAAAAACCGAAATCCCCATCCCCTCATCCCCGACCCTTCCCGCACAGCGACCCGAAACCAGGGAATAAACTAAACCCTAAACCCTAAACCCTACACCCCTAAACCCCTAAACCCAAACCCCTAAACCCTAAACCCCTAAACCCTAAAACCATAAACCCACCAAGGGTTGCACCAAAGGTTCGCCCACCCGGCACTGGCCATCTCTGGCCTTGGGCTGGCGGGAAGTGAGGCTTTGAGGTCAACGACAACGAGGACGACGACCACGAATTGCTACAACTAACTCTTGTTAGGGTTTAGGGTTTAGGGTTTAGGGTTTAGGGTTTAGGGTTTAGGGTTTAGGGTCTTGTTGGGGTTTAGGGTTTAGGGTCTAGTACTACTACACTACTACGACGACGACGACGACGACTGCTACTGCTAGACTACGATGCCTAGCTGAACAGGTGGTATGGCCGGAGATCTCGAAGTTGGCTGGCCTGTCAGAGCTGAAGCCCCGAAAACTTTCTAATTTTCAGGTCAATATAAAAGGCCCGGCGAAGCCCACATATATACATATATATATACACATACATACATACATATACAGAAGAGGAGGCTCTCTACATATATACGCGCATAAATACAGACGTACACATAATCATTGAAAAATAAGAATGTCTCCGTGTATATATATATATATACACATATATATATATATATATATACATATATATATATATATATGTAAATGTACATATATAGATAGATAGATAGATAGATAGATAGATAGACAGACAGATAGATAGACAGACAAAACACGAAGGGGCAATGATGCAAAGGTCGCGGCTTGAGGCTCGGTGAGGGTATTGTCCACGATCTGGCGGTGGTCGAAATTTCAAGCAAGGGGCCCTGAAATATACGCAGAAGCAACACCCTAAGGGTCCAAGTACCTAATAATCATATACTCTCCCAAACAATAACCTACATAACCACTATCCGAAACCGAGGAATCTTCAGTTGTTCCGGGTCATAAATTCTGAAACGACGATGGGCAGAGAGAAAGGCAGAGCCCGAGAAATTATTCGAGCAACGTGCCACGTCTCACCGATGCCCGGCAGCGCCTTTAATCTCGCATCTCTGTGGATCTGGTTGACAAATTGGAAAGTGCCTGCCAGGCAAGGCAAATTTAGGGTTTAGGGCCTGCGTAAGTTTGAATTTGGACCATCTGGTTCCGGGATCTGCAGACAGCCTCGAAACCTGGCGAGGACGGGCCGATCTCAGTGTGGATCTAACAAGAAGCAGCGAACATAGTACAGCCACAGCATGCCAGGCCACGGCCGAGATGCGATGGTCTCAGGTCAAGTGTAGTGATTTTGCGCCTGAGCGCATACCTTCAACCCTCACAGCGAGCTCTTTCAGCCCGTCAGGATGTATGATCATCATTCGACCATGCACCGGAAGCAACGCAAGCAGAGTGCAGCGCAAGAGGCAGTGGACAACGGAAGGCCGAAAGCGCGAAGGCGCAACATGGCACAGCTGACCCGGACGCACATTCCAGCAGCAGTAAGGGCTAAACTGCTGCACCATCCAGACAAAGACAAGCAAGGGAAGCTTCTAGTCCAACATTCCCAAGGCAAGCTGGGGAGCGATATCCCCACATAGTGGTCTCAGGTCAAGTGTAGTTTTTGCGCATTTCGCGCCCCTCACAGGGAGCTTCTGTGGCTCCTCGGGCTCTTGATCTCATCCTGCGGCCAAGCCCTGGCTTCCAAAACATGTGCAAGAGCCCCAGCCGCAGCTGAAAGGCTTTCAACGGCCAATCAACAGATCCTAGGATTGCTGATGCGCTCAAGATTAAGTCCAAGCCTCGGACTGATAGTATCTTATAATGCAGTACAATGCACATACTGAAATATACTACAATTTGCTGTATTATATTAAAGTTATACATTTACTGGTTGAAAACAGGCAATAGCTGCCAGGGCCCATCTTTCGCGACACAAGCTTCTGCACTTCATCGGTGTTGTCGATGCTGAGGATTGCAAAGGAACTCACTGCCCCCTTGCCGGAAACCCCGAACCCCAGAGACTAAGCCCTGAACCCCACTCCCCTATTTCAGAGGCCTCCCGGGATTTTGATCTCCAGGATAGTGTAATTCGCCCCTGCATGGGCCTCGGAATTTGCTGGACATCCGATTGTTTCACCACTACTGGACACTCATGATGAGCAAGAAGACCTGTATTTATAGCAAGCGTTATTAAATAAATCATGTTGATGCTAATGATGGACGGTACTGGCAGGCAATGCTGCTGCTGACACAGGAGGGAAGGGGCGGTGTTGGAGTTCTGGGCTTGTTTCTGGCCTTATTCCGCCCATGGCAGAAGGACGAAATAAGGAGGAACTTAAGTCACCACTTTACTACGACGACGACGCCGACGACGACTACTACTACCAGTACGACGACCACTACCACTACCACCACCGCCACCACCGCCACCACTACTACACTCCTGCCGCTACTGCTACTACTACTACTACTACTACTACTACTACTGCTACTGCTACTGCTACTACTACTACTACTACTACTACTACTAATACTACTACTACCACCACTTCCACAGCTACCACCTGATGCTTGAAACCAAGGAGCACCCTCGATGGCTGTACAAAAGCTCGAGCACGTCCAGGAGGTCGTGGAGCCTCATGTTTGCTATCACATATGTGGTGCATGCATATACACAATTACACGTGCACCATGATACGTATGTATATGCAACAGTACTACTAGATCCGGAGATGCGATTACAAGTATTGTCATGAATCATGACTACTGTTGACAAGTTTGTGGTGGTTGTCGAAACTCAAGATCCGATTTTGGCCGAAGTGCCTCCCTCCACCATGTAGAGGACATGGTTGTCCGGAAGTGGCATGTCCTGCAAGGCCCATCTGTACTTCACTGCCGTGAAAGCTCTGGTTTTGGGTTCTATTGAAGACTTCGGGCCCTATAAGCCCTAAGCGCGTTAACCCCTAATGAAGCCCCAAAACCCCATAACTCTAGGGAACCACACCGGTCAGCATGGATACCATGGCCTCAAGACAACCTACTCGTCCAGTTTCGTAGGTGCTTATATTATATAGGGATTATAGTACACCCCAAAACCGTTCACCATCACGGAATACTAAGACAAGCTTTTCCGATGCAGCTTCCTGAATGGAAGCCTACAGCCCAGGAACGACGGAAACCATACAGTTGCTGGTCCTCCAGAGTGGTAACGTACTGCAGTCTCCCTGCGACAACTGTCTTCAAACGCCAAGCTCGAGTTCAAAGGCTTAACCTCCATCATGGGCGTCGGTCGGTCTGCACTCTTGTTTTGAGATTGTCACTGCAACTAACCATTGCATACCCTGCAGGGATTGCGGGTTTCGAACAACTCCTAAGAGACAGAACCAAAGCAGGCGAACCATACGGAAGAAGGATGTCCCGGACAACTGGTCTCTGTCATGCACCGGGGATCATGAAGTCATGACCGAATGTCGCGTTCCACGTCTCCGCTCCTAGCTGTGTTTATATCAAACATCTGTCTTCGCGCGCATGGTCGCTCTCAATTGGGGAAGAACTTGCTCCATGGCAAACATGGCAAAATTCATCTCGGAGACCTTGCCGGAGCGCTTCACCACGCAAGTTGTAAAACTGGTACAATATAGGTACTGACGGGTACAACAATGTCGAACAACAATACAGCCATCGTCATCGCGGTGGTTGGCGTCTTCTTCTTCATCATGAACACCGGTATCGTCATAAGTCATAGTTATCACCATCGACAGCAGCCTCATCAGCAACACCCCAACCATCGTAATACCATCGTCAGCAGTGCCAGGCACATGTTCATCACTCGCCGCGATACTACTAACGCCCCGAAGCCCTAAACACTAAGGCCTCAACTAACCCAACCCCCAATGATGCCGGAGTTGCGGGAGGGGTTCGCGGCTGCAAGCGCTCGCAGCTCCTGCCACACAGACTTTCACATCTCCCAGCAGCAGGCAACACAAACCTAAACAGAACAGCGGGGTGTTGCCGGGTTCAAGACGGCCTGCAGCTTAGGGGGTTCAGGCTGCAGGACGCAGGATATGGAATTCATAGAGGCTTGCAGTTCCAGGACTTACCCATAGGCCCTAAAGTAGTTCCTTTTGGGATTCATATTTAGAATCCTATTAGGGAATCCCAACAAGGAACTACTATGGGGCCTATGGGTACCCTCATCATACTGTCCTTGCCCTAAACCCTAAACTTCCCTAAACCCTAAACCCTAAACCCCAAACCCTAAACCCTAAACCCTATGGGGCCTATGGGTACGGCCTTTCTGTTGGGAATTTTTTGCTCCTCAACCTCCTCGGCGGACAGTGCCTGGCCCAGGTCACCTGACAACAAGCCCAAAGCAGAGGACAGCTGTAACCTGCTGGGTGCTTGGGTTTAGGGTTTAGGGTTTCAGGGTTTTGGGTTTAGGGGTTTAGGGTTTAGGGTTCTGTAACCTGCTGGGTGCTTGCTTCGGACAAACCAGGAGGCAGACCTGCGCTGGAAGCATCGCTCACTGCTTGGCTCTGCATGTCGAACCACTGTGCGCCGCGGCCCTACAACATCCTACAACACCCTGCATCTTGAGATTCCCAGGCATCCTCAGCATGCAAGCACAAGCTTTGTCCATAAGCAGTTTTCGCGAAGACTGTGTATTTTTACTTTCTTCGCGAGCCGCAGATCTACAGCAACAGCACTGCTTAAGAAATCATTGGTTTAAGAAATTGAGCCCCTCGGACAGCCGCGCGACGAAAAAACAATCGAAAAAAATGCACAAATTAAAAATAGGAAATCCAAGGTACCCTGACCTCGGCGTGCCAATTTCTTATTTTGCTCTTCTCATTTTGTCTTTGCCGTTTTTGTTTGCGCAAAAAGGAGAACCAAGAAACTAAGCGACTCGATGTCGTACTCCAAAAGCTGGACAGTGTCTTGCGCCGGCCAGCACACCCCAAAATAAGAAATTGAGCCCCTCAATTTCTTAAGCTTAAGAAATCGAGCCCCTCAATTTCTTATTTTGCTGGCTTTTTTCAATATGACAAAGCCTTAAAAACGCCCTTATTAAGCCCTTATAGAGCCTCTGGAGCCCTCCAAAGCTGTTGTTAGGGCTTAATACAGCCCTTATTAAGCCCTTATTACGCCAGCCCAGAACCCCCCAAAATAA